TAAGAAAAACGTGAAAAACATTTAAAATGCATAATAAAGCTCAAAGACACCAGCTCAAGCTGTAAGACCTGTTAGTTTCAAAGACAGGTGCTAGGTTTGTATCTCCTTTGATAAGTATGTCCCAAATACTTGTACAAAACAGCACCCAGTAAGTTTCCACTTCCTTTTTGAATCTGCAAGTGCAAAATGCATCACAGCAACAGATGCAGAAATTAGGTTTCCCAGTCACTAAAAACTGACATATTCTTACTTCTTTCTTTTTTAAATTGATCTCTATTTGACGAGAGTCCAAGAGTGTGGAGCAAGCAAATTCAATAGCAGTCAATTAAAAAACCAACAGCTGAAATTCAGCCTGCACCACAGTTTGAGAACACAAGAGATCCACCAAAGAACCTCTGTAAGGCTCAGGTGTTCAGGGGAAGAAAAAGAGCTCTATAAGGCATATTCATACAGAAAAACTGGACAGGCAATGGAAAACCATGGATGAAAGCCTCTATTCTAGAGGAAACGGACACCTACCCTCAGTAAGATCTAATCTCTGCATGTTTTGGTGAGGTCTGACCTCAAACACAAAGTGGTTTACAAAAACCAGGTGCAATGAAATGCAAAACACTCAACCAGCCAAGCAATGAGACGTCTGCTGGTCTCCAGTAAACTCTTCCAGACTGTTACAAGTGATCTGGCCACAGCACTGTCAAACTGAAAACACAATCCCTGCCCCCAAAAGTGCAGCTTCAACCAGAAGAGACAGTAAGGCCAAGGGGGTGGTGATGCAGCTGTTACACCAGCAGGAACTTGGCGAACAAGGAAAGCACAAAGGCAGCGACAGCAAACAGAGGAGCTGATGAAGTGCAGGGTGAGAGAAGTGCTTGGAGGAGATGAGGAGAGCCAGACACAGGTGAGATTATGGCACAGCTGGGGGCAGCCAGGATAAGCAGCTCAAATCTCTGCAGCAACCAAGCAGAAGCAGGTTGCCATGTCAGGAGAGGTCAGGCACCCACTGAAGCAGAAAGGAGCTGCGACTCAACACCACTACAGATGGGAAGAGCACTTTATGTACTGAGGCTGCCTCACTGCCTGCTGGCCACCAGGCATTAATCTGGTCTTACATCTGTCATTAGAACTGGCAGCAGAAGAAACAAAAACTCCTGTGGGTTTTCTTCACTTTTGCCCAGAGACAGAATACAGGACTTTTGATACAGGTCCCTCCAACTTTAGGAATAAAAGGAGTGAGGGCAGAGCAAGTGGTGCATTCCCTTCTGTTCTCTTCTGTCTCCTTCCTGCATCCTTGTTGGCAGGGGAAATGATGTAGCTGAGGGACCACCTTTAATACTATTTCCCTGCTTACACCATGGTTTCTACTGTGAAATGAAATTTGTTTCCTGTCATTAGAACATTGTCCACCCAAGCCCTTAAAATTAAGGGCTTCTAACATAACACACATATACACACACAGTGCAAACCAGCAAGACGACTGCCTTAGGAGCAGCACCTCTATTCCTTCAAGCACAATTGAAATATATGGCCTGTCCCCTCTAATGGAGACAATGAAGCTACAACTCAGTGGTACACAAACCCAGGACAGCATCAGAGCTGACATGACATTTCACTTGATGCTGTTGGAGAAAGGAGAGCAGCTGGGACAGACTGACAGGCCTGCAGCATCACATCTTTAAAGTGGAGCACCTCATTGAAAATGAGCATTTCCTCACCTGTGAAGCATTTGCAGATATCTTCATGTGTCACATATGCTAATGTTCCCAAGGTTAAGGAGAAAAGCTGCAGCTTCCTGCACAGACAGAGAGCTCAAAGGGTACCTGGTGTTTCCTTCCTGAGCACAAGGAGCCTTCCCAGAAAGCTCACCATGCCACACTCTGAAGTGGTCTGCAGGTGAGGTCTGCAAGCTCTGTGTCCATCAGATCTGACATCCTGAGATAGTTAAGCCACAAGAGCAGCTCTGCACTCAATAAAGTGGCACCTGTGACTCAGAAAAAAACCACTTTTCTCACTGTGGTAAACATTACTATGTTTTTACTTCCATAAGCCAGAGGAGAAGCTGGATGCAGAGAAAAGCAGGTCTCTAGGCTTGACAGTTACCCTAATTTCAAACCAAGGTGCTGCCTTTTGATGCTTTCAGTGCAGCTTCTCCAGCAGCAACAGGTCAGCACCCACCAAGCCAGCAAGTGAACACGGAGACAGAGCCACCAGTTCACACAAAGGATATCGACTGTTCTGCATGTCTTCTGTAACATTTTTGATGCTCTGCTGAACCCACATCTTCTGCTGCTCCAGCTCCTGTTCCCGCTGCTCCAAATCCTCAATGTCTGCCTTCAGCTCAATCAGTTTGTGAGCTATTTCACGTGTGTTGCAGCCAGGACCCACCCCCCTGGGTAAAACAAAAATGGGTGAGATATATCAGCCTCTGCAGGCACCCAGACCAACCCCAACCTCTCTGCCAGCCTCTTATTCCCACCCATGTCAAACATCAATGACAGATTGCCTGGAAAGCTGCGTCTGTACCCACTCGAGACCCCCACTTCCCACCATAGCAATGTTTGGTACACCTTTCTACTTCCCACAGTCTTCCCCACCTCCAGTGCCATGACAGGTATCTTTTCTAGACCAAGGCAGTGCAAATATTTAGTTTGTACCAAAATAACACCTTTGCTGTAAGAGAGACACCACACGTACTTCAGCTTTCCTCACTGTGCCATCAGCACAGCCCAGCTGGGGGAGGCAAGAGCTTGGACCACTGAGGAACTGTCCCTCTGCACACAGCATTTTAATCCCACTGTCACTTAAACCTGCACTAGAAGGGACCTGTGAATGATTTAGACCATCTCTACCACTCACTTCCACTGGATACTGTTCTTGGACTTCTTCTCAATCAACCCGATGCCTTCCAGGACATTTGTGATATCGTAGATCCGTCGCTTCTGTCGCACAGCCAAGGTATCTGCAGCCTGAAAAAGGTTAAGACACTTAATTCCAAACTCTCAGTCATGTTTAGCTCCTTCCTGCCTGGCAGATTAACTCCTGGCCAAGTACTTTGCTCCCCGTTTCATACCTCTTCCGTTCCAGCGTTTCAAGTTACACAGCCATGTTCTTGATCCCACATGACCATGAGAAGAAGTCACTCATTCTTCTTTTTTTCTTACCCACAGCCTCCCCACTAAACACAAACCAAATTCCAGCACTCCTACTCACAGTGGATCCAAAAATCACCATTCTCCAGTAGCAAAGCAGTGCTAGAACATAGTAGTTCATCAGCCTAAAAATTTAGTGCTCCCTCGGGGTAGAGATGGAGATGGGAAGGGGAATGCTGAGAGCTGTTTGTGCAACACTTCAGTGAAATCAACATTCACAAGGTCTTTTCTAAAGCTGATCTGACACTACTTGATAAAGAATCAATATCTTTTCAAGAGATTCCTCTGTTTGAATGACATGACTCCAGGTGGAGAGTAACCATGAGCATGCCTGGGGCTTCCCTGCCTTGCTCCAATAACCCTTTTCCCTCAGGTTTCAGGACTCAAGGAATGGCACTGTTCCCACTACCACACACCAACCCGGCACCAGCAAGAGTTAATGTGTGCACAGAAGGACCAACAATGTCAGTGGCAGTGCAGACACAGCAGGACAGCACAGGAACTATGTCTCTGTCACCCACCAGTGACAGGCCAGGACTTCGGAGATCCTACACCACACAACTACATAAATCACATTGACTAAAACAAATTCCCTTAATGGACATTTGAAAAATAAAAATATTGTCAAATCCAATGAGAAAACAATTTGGCACAGGCATGGAGCCAGGAAACTCCTCCAGCCCATTACTGGGGCTTTCTGGCACTTGTCTGTCTCACACACGTGCCCCCATAAGAGATGCTTATATAAACCACAGCAAAGGAACTTCCCCTACAGGAAAGGCCAGAGATTAAATACTATACATTGACAGTGTTACTTCCTCTAGGTGAAGATTTTAAAATGCAGAAGCAAGATGATTTCACACAGCACTTCTCCACTGCCTAAAGGCATGGGGGACAACCTCTGGCAGGTGACTCTGACCACACTCCCTGTCCTGGTGTGTGCCAGGAGGGTTAAGTGCTGTACAGACAGTTTCTATAGGTATGTGTTTCTGTAGATGTCTGAGGCTTTGGTGCCAGTGATCAAGTACAGGACAAGAACACAGAAGAGAACAAGGTGGTCAAACGGTTCTGCAACTGAAGCATACAAACACCTGCAATGCCTGGCGAAAGAAAAGTGGCCGGGACAACCCGACGGGGTGGGGAGAAGGGCTGGGAAGGAGGAGCAGGCGGGGGTGTGAGGTCGGCCAATGCAGAGCCCTCTGTGTACGGCCGGCAGCCCTGCCGCACCCCCAGAACCCCGCTTTCCATGCGCCTAGAAACAGCATCAGTGCGGCTGGAAAAGCCCTCCAGGATCATCGATCCCAGCCCCTAAACCCCACCACTGAACCATGTTCCTAAGCACCGCACCCACAAACCTTCTGAGCGGGGACAGTGCTTCCACCGCTGCCCTGGGCAGCCCATTGCACCAGTGCCTCAGCACTCTTGCCATGAAGAAATTTTTCCTGGAATCCGATCTAAACCACCTGCTGCACCGGGCGCTGCCATGCCCCCGTTCTCCCCCTGCAAACCTGCTCCAGCCGCCGGAGCACCGGTCCCGCCGGAGCCGCTCTCCCGGCGGCCGCTCCCTCCGAGCCCTCCCCCGGGGCGGCGGAGCCCTCGCCCCCCGCCGGCTGCCCCCGCACCAGCTTGAGGTCGAGCACGCCGTCCTTGGCCTCCTGCAGCAGCGACACGAACTTGGTGGTCAGCAGCCCCAGGCTCTTCTCGTGCCGGCTGGGCGCGCCCGCAGCCCCGCTGCCACCCCCGGGGGGCTGCGCCCCGCACTCCGCCATCTGCCCGCCGCCGGCTCCGGGGCCGCGCATCCGCTTCCGGGCCGCGGGGCTCCCCGGGAACCTCCGGGGCGGGGACGGCGGCGGGGCGGGCACCGGGGACTCCCCCCGCCGCCTCCCGGGCCTGCGGGGCGGTTCCGCTTTGCTGCCGGTGTTCCGTCAGCCCCGTCGGTTTGGGGGTCCCCCGGGTAAAGCCAGGGGTGCGTCCATCCCCTCGCCGTTCTGCGGTGCCAAAGTCAAGCCCCACCCTGTGGTAGCGAAGCCAAACCTCGGCCATGTACTCAGCTCTCACCGCCCGGGTGTCAGGGGCGGTTTGCTGCTCCAGCACACACAGTGCCGGCGGAATCCTCCAGCCTGTGCCCGGGGAAGGCAGCTTGTGGCAGGGACACATCTGCACCCGTGGAGGGTGCATCCCCACGTTCTCGCCTCCGGGTCAGGCTGGCACAGCACACCCTTGATGGTGATCCACCCTCGAGTGGGCTCGCACTGTGGATGGGCTGGGGTCTGGCACCCCGCTGTCCTCCCCGAGCCAGGGTGGGTGCGAGAGGGCAGCGCTGCGGGCACGGACAGGGCTGAGTGTCCGGAGAACAGGGGGTGATCTCCAGGACGAGAGGAAATGGCCTCAAGTTGAGTCAGCAGAGGGCTAGATTGGATATTAGGGGAAATTTCTTCATTAAAGGATGGTCAGGCACTGTAAAATGTTGCCTGGGGGCAGTGGTGAAGTCACCATCCCTGGACATGTTAAAAAGGCGTGTGGATGTATCGCTTAGGAACGTGGTTTAGCGGTGGGCTTGGCAGTCACCGGTTGGTACTCGATGATTTTAGAGGGCTTTTCCGATCTGAACGATCCTTTGATTCCGTGACTTGTATTCCCCAGACCTCCGGCTGTCGCGGTGCCTTCCCGTGTCCCCCCTCCCCTCCGCCCCCCGTTCCTGACGTCCTGAGCGCGGCTGCGGGAACACAATGAGGCCCTGAGGAGCGCGGCGGCTCCGGCTGAGGAAACAAACGGCAGCCGGCTTCCTCCGCACCCTGCCCTGGCCCCGCAGCCCGCTCAGCCTGGACACCATGGGCATGTCTGCGGAGGACGAGCGCGCCGCCAGCCCCAGAGGTAACGCGCATGATGCTCCCCGGGGAGCCGGCGAGCTGGGCAGGGAAGGGATGCTGCTGCTTGCAGCACGTTTTGGGGATTCCCCTGCTCTTTGCCTCACCACCCCCTGCACCCTCCTGGACCTTTTCCCCGTGCCAGGGTTGGTGCTTTGTGTCCTTGCGGGGTGGAAGCCTGGCTGTGCTTCCTGATGGTGATAACTGCGCCGGGGCAGTTCTGCTCACCGCTCATCTTATCCTCAAAGCTGCTGTCCTCCTCCCTAAGCCCTGGTCCCAAGGCCGCCAGCGGCTCCCCAGCAGAGCAGGAGCCTGGCTTGGCACTGGGTGACAGCCCCGCGGGGCTGCAGGGAGTGGCTGGGGATGGGGTGGGGTGGGGGAATGATGAAACCAGGCATGGGGGACTGGGAATGGTGTGTGATACTGTGCTGGTTTTCAAACCTCCACTGCGGCCAGGAGGTCTTTGGCATGACTTTGGACCCTGTGTCAAGGGGGACACAGCAGCTTTGGGGAGACCAGGAGTGTCCAATCCTCAATTTAGCCTGGCTCTCCTTCCTGCGAGAGCTGCCGTGTCCCCATCCCTCCTGCTGACTCACTGCTGGAGTCTCAACCCAGCTGACAGCTGCCCAAGTGCCATCAAACCCCCTCAGACAACCCAGCGCTGTGTTTTGGGGAGTAGCCGGGATGTACACTCAGCCTGGGGACAATCTGAGCTGGCAGGCTGAGTCACAGCACCCCAGGACAGCTTTACTTCTTGCTGCCACAGCTGTTATGCCAACCCCAGGCTGTGGTGGTGGTATCTTGGGGGGCCCTTGTGGAAGGACCCTTTTGGTGCCACGCTGCCCAGCTTCCCGTGTCCGTGTGTGCTTGGAAGTCCACTGGTGGCGAGCTTCCTGCCTCTGGCCTCAGGGGCCCTTCCTGCCCCTCTTGGTTGTGCTCACTGACCCCTGGCTTCATCCCCAGACGAGGAGTGGCCGGAAGCGGAGAAGGCTGAGAAGCTGGCGAGAGGAGCCGCTCTGAAATGGGCTTCAGGGGTGTTTTACCGCCCCGAGAAACTGGAGGGGCTCGGGCATTACCGGAGGCGAGAGACACAGAGGAACAACTCCATCCAGTCCCGGCTGAAGGTGTGTGTTTGCCCATCCCGTGGACACTTGCAGCCACACCCCCTCCTCATGCAGGGACCCAGCCAGGTCCCCTCTTGCACCATCAATCCTCTGTATGTCCTCTTTTGACAAAAATCTTTTCCTTTGGCTGGCGTTTGGTGGGTGAAGTGTAATTGTTGGGGAGAGAAGACCCCCTCCTTCACCCTATGCCTTACCCCCAGGCAGTGTCTGAAGTGTTAAAAGGAGTCTTCTGTGTCTCTGACAATCCGGCAAAATAAAACACCAAGGGGGCTCAGCACATTCCATGTGCAGGACTCGGTGCACCCCATCACTGCCCCGTCCCAGCCCCAAAGGCTGCCCTGCCCCACAGCTGGGAGGAAGCACAGAGCTCCAACCTGTCCCTGCCTGTGGGTCTCCACATTTGTAAGGGTTGTCCCAGTCCCCCTGCACACTTGCCTCCTTACCCGCATCCTCTTTTGCATGACCCAAGGAATCAGTCTGAGCACCACAACTTTCTCCTAATAATTTTAGAAACGGTTTCTCCTATCCTGACTCTTGGATGAATTGTCTGGGAGGCCTCAGTGAAAGCAACTTTTCCTGGTGATTCTTGGCATCAGGAGCAGGGAGTTAAATGAGTGGATAGGGCACGGAGATGTGCCAGTGCAGGGCTGGAAACGATGGCACTCCATTTGGGAGGAGAGTTTATATGGCCACTGAGGTCCTTCATGCCTTGGGGGCACATAGGGGCCCTGTGACCCACTACTCTTTTGCAGAAACAAAGTAATCTTTTAAAACTGAGAGAGGCATCTGCTTGCTGTTTACCCTGGGCCTTGTGGGGCTGGGAGAGTGCCTGCAACACATATTGTGCAGGGCTGGGGCAAGTGGTGTGGAGTCCTCCTGCCTTCTGGAGCTGCTCCACTGCCCTCCATCCTTTTCTGCTCCCCAGTCAACTGTCCAGTCCTACCTGGAGGGGGTAAGTGCAGGGCTGGAGCAGCTGCGGTCGGCGGCCCAGGAGGTGCAGGGCGTGTGCCAGGACCTGGGGGCTGCACGGTGGGCCCTGCTCGACAGCGCAGACAACTTCCAGGGCCTCCAGCAGATGAGGAAGCTGATGGAGGAACATGTGCAGCTGGCCTCGGTGGTCCAGGTGCTGCCCCAGATCTTCTCGGGTAAGGCACTGGCCCAATCCTGGTCAATTTGGGCTGAAAAGCACTGAGGGAAACAGTGCAACCACAGGCTCTGTGCAGGGCTGGTGGTAAAGCCTGAGCAGGTCACTCAGGCTCTGCCAGCTGGGTGAATGGAGATATCCCTGCTTCCCCAGGGCCTGATCCAATGGTGTTCCCAGAGCCCCAGACCTTTCCCCTCACCATCTCCTTGATAACCTGCATCTATGTCCCCTGGTGCAAACCCCTTCATCTCCACACTTAGTGCTGGCATCTCTCCTCCCTCTCCCACAGTCCACGAGGTTTTTTCCCATATCCTGCAGCTGCTCCATGGGCAGCATCTCTTGGAGGCACACGTGGAGCTCATGATGGTGGAACAACTCCGGGATGACATCCTCTCCCAGCTGCACCTCCGCGGGCTCTCCGGTGCCCAGGCAACTGTGCTGTCCTACTTCAGTGGCCTGCAGGACCTCAACGAGAGCCTGGCCAAGCAGCTGTGGGACATTGTGGGCAGCAGCCTGCGGTTGGTGCGCAAGGACCCCGTTCTCTTTGTCACTGCTGTGAGGATCATCGAGCGGGAGGAGAAAATAGATGATACTCTGCTCTTGGAGGCCACCTTCCTGCCCCCTGGCCGCCCAAAGGGCTGGAGGCAGAAGTTCTACCAGGTCCTCCAGGACACCCTCACAGGAGCCCGTTTCCATGCTCCCCGCATGGATGCTGAGGGGCCGGGGCTGGCCAAGCACCTGGCGGCGCTGCAGAAGGACATCGTGTCTGAGCTGCGTGTGGTGAAGGACCTGATGGTCCAGTGCGTCCCAGCCCACTACAACATCCTCAGCCTCTGCACTGCCACCTACCACCAGGCCCTCACCAGCCACCTCCAGGAGATCCTGCGGGAGGACCTGGACAAACAGGGACTCTTCCTTCTCCTTGAGTGGGCGCTCCGTGTGTACCACAGGTCAGCACCAACCCCGGCACAACCAAGCGAGGGATGTTGTGGAGAGCTGGGTTGTTCACCAGCTCATGGATGGGTTAGGAGAGTGTCTCTAGCTGCCAGGGGATGATGACCAGGAGGGCAGAGGGATGGGTAGGAACTCCTGGAAAACAGGTCTTCCCAGCCCTGCCCCACCTCTGCCCTCCAGCCCAGAGATGATGGGTCACCCTGACCTCCTCCCAGAAGTGGATGTTTCTGCTCTGGATCCCTTGATGTCCTCTGAGCTTGTGGATCAGACAGAGAGGAGATATGTGATGAAAGTCAAGGTGAGTGAGCGGGACAGGGACCCAGTGACTCCCACCGAGCCAAGCATGTGCTCTGACAGCAGCTGCAGACCATGAGCCTGGCATGAGGCCCAGGACTTGATGTGCTATGCTGGGTCTCAAGGGAGTCTGTACGTGGCTCCTTGGGCTGCCTGTGGTGAGTGTCCATCCTGCAGGCTAGCGTGTTCGAGTGGATGCAGAGGACTCTGGAGGTGGAGTTCAAGGAGTGGTTCAGGGAAGAGGAACCTGAGACAGACCATCAGGGCTTCTTCCAGTCAGCCTTGCCTGCCATTGTCATGCAGGTGGGACCCCAAGAACATGGGTACAGATGAGGCTTGGCCATGCTGAGACCTCCCAGAAAGGAGTCCATGGCCCCACTTTCCTCTTCTGCAGATGCTGAATGAGAACATCCAGGTGGCTTCCTTGATCACCAACTCTCTGCAGCAGAAGATCTACAACATGGCCTTGGAGGAGCTTGAGGCATTCCTGGGCCGGTCAGTGGAGCCACTCACACCCCTGTCCACCCTCACAGACCCTGGGGCCATGGCTGAGCATCGCAGGCTGGTGGTGGAAATCTGCTGTGGGGCACCAAATGCTCATCCAGGTCACAGAAGGCTCAGCAGCCTGTCTGCCCATGGGGCTGCTATCTCAGCCTTTGGGGGCATCAGCTCTTGGGGCCTGCTGCCCCAAATGCTTGTCAGGGGATTCAGAATGGGTCCCACTGTCCCACCCTGCCCAATGACCTGTCACTCTCCAACCTGGTGGCAGGATCTGAAAGGAGCCAAGTGAGCTGGGAGGGTTGTGGGAGATCCATGTGTCCCCAGGAGCGTCCCAGGGTCAGGTCACCACCACGCCTGGGGCTCTGCCTGCCCATGGCAGCTGCCTCGCTGTGTTGCAGCCTGCGGGAAGCCCTGGCGCAGTGCGGGAAGCAGCACCAGCAGGACCGGGCCGTCCCCAAGTACTACATCTCCCACCTGCTGGCCGTGCTCAACAACAACCTGGCTCTCAGGTAACCTGCACCAGCACCTGGGAGCTCCTGTAGCAACACCCACCCCCATCCTCCCTGGAGCCAGTGTTCCCACTATGCTTCCCAGGCTACCTGTACCCTCTCTTCTCTCTCCTAGCAATTCTGTCTCATCCTTGCACCCTGACACTGCCTGCAGAGAAGTCCCTGGATCCCTGCAGGCTGCTCTAGACAGGATGCAGAAGAAAGCCACCCAGCTGCTGCTGGAGGAACTGCTCCTGGACCTGCAGGTATGTTGGTCCAGCACCTGAGGCTGACAGGGCTGCAACAAAGCTGAACCCAGCAATAACAGCCCTGCTGCAACAGAGTTTATTCCTGCCCAGGGTCCCTGCTATGTACTCTGTACCCTGCTATCACCCTGCAGACATCTCTGCCAGCCTGTCCTTGATAAACCACCCGATGTCTGTCGCCAGCAGCACCACCCCGTATCGCTGGGGCAGATGGCTCATGGCCCCCAAATCACTAACGGACAGAGCCCAGGAGCCTTAGGGCCCCCAGCTGCCTCACGCTCCTTCTGGCTCTTCCATGGCAGAAAACCAGCTGGAGAGCAGCAAAGTCTGTGTGGAGGATACAAATCCATGTGCAACTGCCTGAGTAGTTTCCTGCTAGTGTAGTCAAATTTAGCTTTCCTGGAGTCTGGACCAGAAACCTGCAATAATTAATGACATTACTATTTAGGGCTTGAATGCCATGAAAACAAAGGAAGAGCCAAAGGGTGAGGAGATTGCAGGCAGCAGTGGCCCCAGCAGAGACAGGAGTGTGTGCCTGCAAGCAGGAAGACAGGCAAGGACAGCAGGGCGGGAGTAGGAAATCAAAAAACGTTATGTTTACACAAGGGAAATGGAGAGGAGTGGAAATTAAAAGTAGGCAGGACAGGCCAAAAGCAGGTGTGTGAGAAGCAGCTCGCTGCCCACACCTCAGGTGTGCATCATGATCCAGATAAAGCCCCAAAATGAGGCTCTCAGGGTGTCAGGGAGGGACAGCCCCAGCGCTTCCATAATTCCCTAACCTTAACCACTCTGCTGTTTTCACATTGAGTTTTGGCTGGCAGCAGGGGCTCGGGGGCTTTGCAAGGCAAAGCGGCCGTGGTGCCAGGCAGCAGCTGCGGGTGTTGTGCTGATGCAGGGCACAGACGCTGCTCCTCTGCTCCCTTCAGCCCCTCTGCCTGCAGCTGCCGTCCCGCAAGTGGCTCTCCGGGTCCCAGCTCGTCGGCAGCATGTGTGAAGTGATTGACAAGTACGCAAAGGACTTCTCCCGCGTCAGGAAACCCGTGTTCACGGTACCTCCTTCAGCGGCTGCCTGTGGGACAGGGCGCTGGGCACCGTGCTGGGGTGCAGGGAATGCTGGAGAGTCTGTGAGCACCACCACACGGAGATGTGCAGGGCTTCCCCCAAATCCAGCTGTTTTCTCTGTCCCTTCGGTCAGGGAGCTTCCCAGGAGATTGTTCCCATGGCTTGGTGTTGTATCAGTCCTTTTTGCCTTTCCCTGGGGAGCTGGGTTTGGACCCCCGGGCAATGCCAGCAGCGCTAACAGCTGTCCCCTGCCCAGCTCCTGCTGGCGGAGAGCGAGCTCCTGGTGGTGAACCAGTACCTGCGGGCACTCCTGCAGAGGAAGATGGTGTGCAAGAGCCGGGAGGAGCGGGGCCAGCTGTGCCACCGCCTGCTGCAGGACGCCACGCAGCTCCGGGAGCTCTTCTGTGGCCTGGTGAGAGCAGCCCGGCTGCGGTGGGGAGCCAGGGCTGTGCCATGGAAAGGGAGCATCACCTCACCCTCCTGCCCCCCTCCAGCCCACAGCCACCACCCCTGTTACACTGCGGTGGTTGTGAGGCCAATCTGGGAGGAACTAGCTGGATTAAGGACTCTGGGACCATCACCTGCCCAGCAGCCCCTGATGGGTGGGAAGTGCTGAGTGGGAAGACAGCAGCTGCAGGGGCTCAGGTGCCCACGTGGGCACTGAGGATGCAGTTGTCTCCCCAGCCACTGCAGTGACATCCTCTGGGTGTCACACCTGGCTGCTTTCCCTCCCAGGGCCTGGACCGAGGCCAGCAGAGCCTGGAGGCTGTTTTTGCCCTGCGGGAGCTGATCTACCTCAAAGACCCAGCACTACTCAGCCTGGAGGTGCTGGGCTTCATCACCAAGTACCCTGATGTCAGGTAAGGTACTCCCTGCAGGAGGGGATAGGTGTGAGCCTGCCCAGGAGAGCCAGTCTTGGGCTGCACCCTCTGAGGTGACAGAGCAGAACAGGCAGAAACCTGAGCCTTTACCCCTTTACCCTCTTCTCCTTGAGGTTTCCTTTTCCCATGCACCAGATTTGATGGGTTCTTGAAAGTCCCAAGGGCAAAGGTGTACAGAAAACAGCAGTTCTGCTGTGGCATTTGCACATCTGTATTTGGTGGTCAAACAAACTGTGAAAATAACAAACCACCAAATTGGAAATGTCAAAACCAAATTCAGAAAGTTTAGGGGGATTGTTTTCAAGAAAATTCTACTTGGCCTGGTGCAAAGTACCAGTTTTCCCCTGGCCCTGGCTTGGCTTCTCTGGATGGGGGTGGTTTGCAGGACACGAGCAGTGCTCGGGCTCACCCCTGGCTCTCTGCCCAGCGATGAGCACATCTCCACCTTGCTGGATATCCGTGGGGACGTCTCCAAGGAAGTGCGGCACGTGGTGCTGGAAATGATGGCTCAGCACCCCCAGGTTCTGCCCGAGGGCTACCGGCCCATCTTCAGCACCATCCTGGTCCCTGTGCAGGAGCTGCCCTTCTGCCTTCGCAAGGGCAAGTGTGCCTGACCCTGCCTGGCACTGGTGCCCCGCTGGTCCCAGGTAGGGGTCGTGCAGGGCAGTTCTGTGGTTGTGCGTGGTGAGAATGGAGGTGAATGTGGCATCCCCTACACACAGCACCTTGTCCTGTGTTGGGGACAGTCTGGATAAAGGCCGTTCTCCTCTGGTCTTGCCCCATGAGAAGACTGACCCCTGCAAGCACCAGTCCCGGGGGAAATCCAACCTGTAGCTACTTTGGTGGCCTGCTGGGACAGTGACTGGGGATGGCTCAGGCCCATTGCCTGCAGCAGAAAGAACACTTGCAGAATGGACAGGAATCTGCGCTGGGACAAATTCACGTCTCCATGGGGCTGCAGAGATGCTTGAGTTTCCCCAAGTCTCCAGACAACCCCCTGAGCCAGTGTGTCCCAGCCATGGAGGCTGTTACCAATCCAACTCTGGGGCAGACTGGAGCCTTGCTGGGACCAGGAAGGTTTCAGCCATGGGAGCTCCTCTGGGCTCAGCCCTGGGGTTGGGTGCTGCTGCTCCACAGGCTGGGCCCCGCATGGCCAGTGGGGAGCAGCTGAGCCAGCTGATCATGGCTCATGTATCCTGAGGAGATGAGCACAAGGTGGTCTCCTCACCCTCGACAGTGCCACCAGCCCTATCCCTGCTGGCACAAAGGGACAGCTCGGAGTTCCTGCTGACCTGCCAGACTTCTGGCTCATTTGCCAGGAGGAACACTGCAGTTGGAGGCTCTCAAGCTGCATGGAGAGCGTGGTTGTGCCTGGTGTGTTGTCCTGCTCCAAGGTTCCTCCGTGATGGGCAGCACCACCCTGAGCACTGGCTCTCCCTCCATCCTCTGCTGCTGCCCAGGCCTTGGCATCTCCTCCCAGGTGCCACATGAAGATCAGGAGCAGTCTGTGTCTCTGCCTACACCCTTGTGCCTAGCCCCTGCAGCACTCCAGGAGACCTCCATGCTCTGCCATGCTTCCCACCCTGGGATGGGCCACATCCCACTGTCCTTGCATGGTACCACTGCTGGAAATAAAGGCCTAAGCTCTGAACTCGTTCCCCAGTGTCCAGGCTCTGCCCCCTGGAGGGTTGGGACAGGGATCAGGGTATGTGGGTGGCACAGAGAGGGAGGGATCCATCCCCATGTCCAGCATCACCCCAGACCTGGCTCCCTGCACCCTGTGCCAGCCCAGGAGATCACCCAGGACACGGGGGATGATGCACACAGTACATACCCCATTGTCTAGGACAGAGGGGGCCAAGTGCTCCCCCGCCTTGGGTCAAGGGGTGGCAGTGCTTGGGGGATGCTCAGTGAAGGGCTCAACCTCAGCTTGGGGAGGTGCCCACTGTTCTCCCTGGGGGCTCATGATGTGCTTGCACAGCTGGCCACAGCTCCCAGCTGCCTGGGAAGGGATCTGCTCTCCCCACCTGCCCCTGCTGGCTACGGGACTCCACCATGGACATGGCTCAAAGGGTTTAACCCTGAGCCCTGGGAACATCCAGGTGGGTCCAGACCAGGACTTTATGGCCATATGGGAAAACAGCTCTAGTCCCAATAGATCTGAAAGAAGTCTAAGCACGGGATGACCTCTCACCCCAGGAACTGGTGCCCATCCCAGCATGTCCAGCCTCACTGCTACCCCAGCTGTGTGCCCACAACCAGCCTCTTGTGCCCTCCATCACAGCCCTGTGGTTCTCTCCTGCTCCAGCTCCACAGCTGCAGTCAGAACTAACACAACCCATGACAGCAAAAGCCCAAGCCCCCCAGGTGTCTTTTGACAGTACCTTCCCACGTCCCTGTTTGTGTGTGTGCCAGGCTTGGCCCGTCACTGCTGCCATACATTTGTCACAAGGCCACAGGGGGACCTTAACCTGGCCAGCTATGAGCCACGTAGCTCCCTGGCTGCTATAAAGCTCGTGGTCCCCAGGGGTTCAGATTATCTCCTTTCAGCATGGCATTCCTGTGGGTAGTTGCCAGCCTGGCCCTTGCCAGCGCCGTCTCAGGTAAGTGCTGCCCATGGGTGTGGGGGGGTCCCTGGGGTGCAGCAGATGCCAGGGAGGGTGACACACAGACACCCACCAGCACATGCAGCCCCCAGATATGAGTCCTGAGCTTTTGGGCCACCCTTGTCCCCTGTGCCTCTCCTGCAGGCTGCGGGGTGCCCGCCATCAGTCCCTCGATCGCCTACAGCGAGAGGATTGTCAATGGGCAGAACGCTGTGCCCGGCTCCTGGCCCTGGCAGGTGTCCCTGCAGGTACAGCACCGTCCCGCTCCCTGGGCACTGCCCTAAGCCCTGGCACGGCCAGCCGGCTGCCACGGCTGCGCACCAAGGGGACCTCTGCCTGTCCCCAGCTTGGGGGTACTCAGCCCCCCCAGCCCCAGCTCCTGTTCCTTCTTCCCTCCCCAGACCACCTCAGGATCCCACTTCTGCGGCGGCTCCTTGATCAACGAGAACTGGGTTGTCACAGCTGCCCACTGCAATTTCAAGTAAGGAGCGATGCCTGGCCAGCCCACGCCGGTGCCACTGGCGTGGGGACATCTCTGAGTGGCACTTGGGTCAGCCCCAAAGGCCCGAGCAGCCTGGGGCTTCCTCCCCAGTGGTCCCCATGGTGGCTTCCCTTGGGTTCCTCGTGCCCGTGGCTCCCCAGTGCTGCTCCCACCCGGGGTGCTCCCACCCTGACTCCCTCTTACCTCTCGCAGCCCACGCAGCCACGTTGTTGTCCTCGGGGAGTACAACCTTGCTTCCAGCGCCGAGGCCGTTCAAGTGAAGACCGTGTCCAGGGTGAGCCAGGCGGACGTGGTCCTGGCACGGGGCTGCAGCTCCGCGCTGCCGCTGTCCCCACGGGGCAGGCATGGAGGGCTGTGGGGTTTCTCTCTCTGCAGGCCATCACCAACCCCGGCTGGAACTCCAAAACCATGAACAACGACATCACCCTGCTGAGGCTGTCCACGCCTGCCAAGCTGGGATCCCGTGTGTCCACCATCTGCCTGGCCCCTGCCAACCTGGTTCTGCCCTCCAACGCCCGGGCTGTCACCACCGGCTGGGGACGCACCAACCCCAACTGTACGTGAGCTGCAGCTTCAGGGAGGGCTGTGTGCAGCTGCTCTTCTTCCTCGGGGTTCTGAGGGTCCAGGAGTGCTTGTGGGGGTGACATCTCCTGTACATGTGGGAAGGGGGCAGCTGCGCAGTGGAGTAACCCTGTCTGAGCATGTACCAGTGTGCACATAGGTGTGGGTGTGTGCTCAGGGGCTGGTTGTGTGTGTAACCCAGGGATGGCTGTGCACAGGCACAAGCCTGCCCTTTCTCAGGGCTGCCTGCACGAGGTGATCCCGGAGAAGAAAGGGTTTGTTGGCATGGAGGAGGAAGGCACTTTGTATGGTAACACCCATGCACCAGTGGAAGCTTGCCCAGGGCACCTGTGTGCACTCCAGGAGACCCACAGACACTGAGGTGATCTAATGGTGCTTCTTTCCCCTAGCCCAAGCCTTGGCAACAGCCCTGCAGCAGGTGACCTTGCCCCTGATCCCCCAGAACAAGTGCATGCAGTACTGGGGCAATCGCATCACCAACGCCATGCTCTGTGCCGGTGGGGCTGGTGCCACCTCCTGCCAGGTAAGGAGCCAAGCTCCTGCTGCACAGGGTGGGTGGAGGAGGATATGCAGGGTCCTGCTGAGCTCCCATTGCATCACAGGGAGGGTGGAGGAGCAGGGTACATGGGCTCTTGCACTTCTGGAGCCAGATATTTAAGCTACACCACCTGGCTGTGCAGAGGAGTTCAGGTGGCTGGGGTGGCAGGGACCAGTTTGGAGCATGTGCCAGGAGAACTAAACAGGAATCTTCTCCGCAGGGTGACTCTGGTGGACCTCTGGTGTACCAGACTGGGAATGGCTGGACCTTGATTGGCATTGTCTCCTGGGGAAGCTCGGACTGCAACATCAACACGCCGGCCATCTACACTCGTGTCAGCCAGTTCCGTAACTGGATCGACACCACCGTTGCTCAGGGCTAAAGCTGCTGCCAGCCTGATCCCTGCACTGGGACTAATAAAGTATCCGTTTTTCTCGTGCCAAGCACTGTCTCTGGGTCCTTTCTTCTCATGATGCAGAGTGGGGTGGAAAATACATGGAGGAGCCTGGGGCACCCCATGCTTCTCTCCTTCCCAGAGCTGGAGCTTGATGCCCAGCTGGGATCCAGAGGGAACTGATAAACGAGGACAGGATGCTCAGGAATAGTGGGAGCAGGGCTGGATGTGGCTCAAGGGCTGCTCAGGGGGTCTTCAAGCCTGGCACCAACCCAGGCATTGCTGAAGGTTGGGAGAATGGTCCTCCCACTGACCCAGGTGCGAGGTGCCACCAGAGAAGGGACTGTGGAGCTGCAGCTCAGCACCAGAAAGGACTGCTCAGCTTGCAGTGGAAGGTGGGTGTTGGTGGGTGCACAGGATCCTAAAGAATCCCTGCCTGCAGTCTAAAGCCATGGCTTGTGTAGCAGCTGAGAACACAGCTGAAAGGGACAAGTGCCATGGGCAGCTCCTGAGGAAGGGGACAGCTGGAGAACAGCACGCTGCTTCACCCCTGCAGATCTGCCAGGTAACGGCAGGAAACTGAAGGCCATTGAGAAGGAAAATCTAAGCTGAAAACAAATTTCAAGGCCAGGTGACAGGCTTTCACTCAAATGGGTTCTTGAGACAATGGCTGGTGGATAAAAAAAAAGAGTCTCAAGACACATGCTCAATGAACTACAATCCAATTCCCAGCAGTTCCAAAGAGAGCTGGTGATAAGGCACTATGGAGAAAAGCAGGATCAGACTGTCCCAAAATGAGGTGTGGGGTTTAGTTTTCCTTACCTGTGGTGTGAAGGTGATACAACACCTTTGCTGTGTGAATCACAGCTCCCAAAATGTAATCACTCTGTTAAGCAGAGAGTGTGACACTACACAGGGTCACACTGATGGGAATGGGTATGGAACAGCAATGGAGGGCAAACACAAACAGTCTGGCCCATATGATTGAGTTAAAACAAATACAAATCTGCTCAAGTAAAGCCTAGGGTTAAAAAATTTTAGTTTTCTTTAGTGGTCTGCTCTGCAGGGAGCATTGAACTGACCTTAAAGGCAAGTGAACAGATGGACCATGCAGGCAGAGAGAACTGGTGGCTACAGGGAACTTCAAACAGAAATGACCAACTGAAGCACTATGGGTCATCTGGTTTGTGTGCTGAGCTCTCTGTCAGCTCTGCCACCACTGGGATGGGGTCTCCTGCCCCCAGAAAATCCTGGAGAGGAGGTGTCTCAAGAGGGGCGTGCACTGTTCACTTGATATTACCAGTTTCCCTGTTGGTCCATAAAAGCTACTCAGACTAAAACTGGAGAGGTGATTGAGTGGCTGTGGACAAACCAGAGCATTCCTCTGGTCTACCTACCACCTTGCAGCCAATGATGTTCCAAAGTGGCTGTTCAGCCTCCCAGCCACACCTTCCAGCAACAGGCTGAGTGCCTGCCACATCCAGGTCATCCCACAGGAGATCTCCCTTGGGCAGCTCCTGGCCTGGCAGCTGCATTAGAGAAACCAGCAAACCCTCTGATGGGCACTTTGGTACCTCTTGCTGCGATCTACGAATGTAAGAGAAGGGTGAGCACCTCCTGGCTCTCCATGTATTTACTGACCATCATTCCCAGCCTGGAAATCATTGCCTTCCAGCAGCCAGCCCACGGGTGATCCACCAGGCAGAAGTAAGGACAGCAGAGCCGTGGGGTACACAGAATACATGGACATGTTTTAGCAGAACGAGTACAACAAATAAATAATTCTGTACACTCTAACTTGAACATTACAGACTAATTACAATGGATCCCAGCTCCTCTGACAGGACAAGCCTTAGAGTAAAGCCAGGACTCGAAAGGCAAGGCACAGCATGGGACATGGATGGGACACACACCGACTGGATGAGACCGGAGTCGCTTCCAAACCGTTCCAACCAGCACCGGAAACTGGACCAAAAATAACACCAAGTGCCGGAAGATCTGCGATCCCAAGCGCTTCCCGGGAGGTTCCTTCCGTAGGGAAAGGCAACAGGAAAGCTCACGGCACCTGGGCGTCCACGCAGGAGCTGCTGCTCTGTACCACACCTCACCGGGCTGTGGATCTGCTCCAGGAATCGCTTCCACATCCAGCAAACAGCGCCACGGCCTCTGCAACAGCAGCCAGAGCTCGCCCGTCACCCACGAGGCATCTGCAGTGGCACCAGGCAAGGGGGACAGTGGGAGAGGGACAATTGTCACCAGGCAGAGCTCCTGCTGGCACACTGAGGGTGGAAGGCACTGAGCTCCATGATGCTGCTTGCCACGGCACATCCCTGGAGTTCACATTTATTTCTTTGGGAAGTTTCCTGCACAGTAAGGCACAGTTGACATGCAGGCACCTGCCTTGGAGTGCTGCACTCTTAATCCAGGGCGAAAGAGGAGACTGAGTGGTCAAAAAAAGCACCAAAACCCTCCCAAGAGTAGTGAAGGCAACTTGGGACTGGCTCCACGCACTGAGTGGTACAGGCACTTTGTGAGACTTTCCAGGGGAAAGCTGAGTGGCTGAGAGGCACAACCACCCTCCCTGCAAGTTCTAGGGCTCACACTGGTGCCAAAGAAGCCGATGTCTGTGTTGCTTTGAATCATTTAGAAAACTAAATTAAGTCAAACAATTGAGATTTTGATTTATCCCACCTCAAACCCCCCCAAATCTTCAGTATCATTACTTAAAACAATATGGCCCCACACAGCCTAATTAGAAGCCTGTAACAGCCAGTAGTTGCCCCATGTGGTACAAGACTGAGCTGAGCCTGCACTGCAGGTCCTCAAAGGCACCATATGGAAGCTTTTACCTTGCCCCCGGACTTGCCACAGCCCCTGCAGAGCCAAACCCAGAGCTGCTGCCCAGCAGCCAAGTGAACCATCATTCCTATTCCAGTTTGTGCATCAGATAAAAGCTAACTCTCTTAGTACTGCAGCCAAACACCCGGGTAGAAAACAGGACTGAGAAATGGAGCATGGCCTCAGAAATAGAGAAAATTACCGGAACAGAAAATCTCACCTAGAAGAGGAAAATACGCAGATTCCAAAGAAGAGCGTGAGGGTTTATCACATCCAGAACAAACACGTAAAGCAGCCCCTACACTGCAGCTGGTTTCCACATCACCACCAAAGCCAGCAGGTCTGAGCCCTCTTGTTTGGGCTTAAGCTCCTCACAAGGCTCTCAAGCTTTCTTCCATGTACAGCTGTGTGCTTCCAAGAACAACACAGAGCAGGAGCATCTGGATGCTATCACAGCTGCAGGGTTAAATAGCACAGACTTCTTCAGGATCGAAGGAAGGGCGGTTTCTACCCCCACTGGGTTGATGTGTTAGGATTTCCAGAAGCCTGAGTGAGAAGTAAATTAACCATGGACTGGTAACTGCTGTTTTAGGAAAATACCCTATGCACTCAAAAACCTGGATGCAAATCTTTAGACCCCCAAACGCAATTTCTGGAAGACTTTTTCACATTGTTTTCCAATAACCCTCAACAAAAATAATAAAAATCATGGAACCAACAGGCCACATTCTTTGAAGCTGTAATTCTCTCCCCCGAGAGAGCAGCCAAACTCCCAAGACAAAAGGATGGGGTTGTTTTACACAGTACTGCTAAGTTCCAAGAGACAAACCACCCTAATTCCCTTTACTCCTCAAAGAGCATCTCACCCAGAAACAGAGGGGACCCAGCGAGGAGAGGGCTGTGCACAGTTTGCCACTAGGTGTCATTCCAACTCCACTTCCCCTGCGTGAGACAGAGCCGGCAAAAGAGAAGCGCTCAGATTTGTGGTGGTCTGGAACAGGCAGGTGTTACTTCTGTCCTCCCTGCACATCCAGGAGGGAAGTTTCCCAGAAACATCCTGCGAGCCAAATTAAGAACCACCATTAAGAGTCAAAGAAGGACATTAAAAAAAATTAAATGAGAGAGTAGAAAAAAACATTTAAGAGAGATTTTAGTTTCTAAAATCCCCAAAAAAGGCACTCCTGAAAAGTGTAAACTCCTGAGACTTAAGACCAACTGAGCACTGAGCTGCTCCTGTGGAATGAAGACAGATGATCAAGGTAATTCACAGTGAAGAGTTTCTTAGAGGACAGATTGAAGGCACCTGGACTATGGCTCAGAATTACAGCACTTTGCCTGTCCCCCTTCACATCAGACCCAACTGAAAACATGTCCCACTTGCAAGAATAAAAGCACCTGAGAAATTGTTCTTAAGCCAGACCTTCCAACGTGGCATTTGGATCACCACAGTTTTCCAGACTAAGTGAAAGATCACTGAGGACTCCAGGGTCACTTGGACAGAGCTCTGCTCATCTACCCTCTGGCCACACATTATTGTCTGGCTGCAAAGTTCCTACGAATATTGGATTTAGAAAAAGAAGAGGGAGTGAGCCAAGAGTGCAAAAACTGAACTATGAAAGGAAAGCCTGTAAAGATTTTCCCAAATTTACACTGATTTTTCCATGCTCACAAGAAAACGTTAAATTTGTGAAAAGTATTAAGATTCTTTTTTTAGAAAAGCCAAAGCTCTTGATGGGATGGCATTGGTCCTCTTCCCACAGTTGCCAAGCAGTGGAGTGCTTGAGGACTGCACACACCTCGATACCACGGAGAGGCAGCTGCAGCTATCCAGTATTCTCATGTATGTGATGGATCCTCCCTTCTGCCAATTCACTCCCAGTTACAGAGCATCACCACCAAAACCTGACACTGTCAGGAACCTGCACAGCAACCTCCTGCTTCCCAAAATATATTCCAGCCCAAAGTAACCACAAACGCTCAGTCTGAATTTTCCCTGGTGAAAAAACAGTTATGGAAAAGATCAATGAAGCAAAAATTGTCACAGATGAGAAGATTCTTGTTCTGCTTTGTGAAGGTGGAGAAACAAGCCTGGTTAGCCCAGAGCTTTATGTATTCCTCATCCCATAAGAGAAGGATAAAGGAACAGCATGTGCAGGTATCTGCATGATGCCCGTGCATTTCGATGATCTAGTGGTTAAGGGGAAGAGTCTC